CACCCCCCCCACTACCCCCAGCCACCCCCCAATCAGACACAGCAGCTGTTAAATAAATTTTAATGCATATTAATGAGGTGGCAGCTTTGGGTCCCTGGCCTGGAGGGGCCAGGGCTGGTCCCTGCCAGGGGACTCTGCCCCCGCCTCCCAGGAGGGGCAGCCCCCAGGGTTAGAGGTGAGGGAAAGTGGAGCTGGGGGGAGTCCCTGCACGCCCCCCCACCCGGGGTTAGACCCACACCCACGGTACATGGGGGTTTGCCCTGAGCACCCCCCTGCCCGGGGGACCCCAGCACCCACACTGCAATGGGAGGGGGTCAGCCCCCAGCACCCACGCTGGGGGGGGAACAGCCCCCCCCAATTCTGGGGGGGGTCAGCCCTGAGGTCACCCTGCGATGGCGGTGTTGGCCCCCCCGCCCCCCCCAGCACAGGGTGGCACAAATTCCAGTTTCTCCCCAAGAAAAGAAGCTGGGAGCCCCTGACCCCCCCACCCCAGAGCACGACCCCCTGCAGTGTCACCCCTCCACAGCCACCCTGGGGGCTGGAGGGTGGGGGTCGTGCCCCCCCACCCCAGGGTCCTGCAGGTCCCCAGGCTCAGACCCGGGACTGGAGGGGGCTGGGGGGCGTGGGGGGGTTATGGTCCATGACTGGGCTGCTGCTGCCGCTGCTGGAGGAACCAGAGCTGGGAGGCGAGGGCCGTGGGGGGTGGGCTGCCTGCCGGGATCCTCGTCCCTTCAGGGTGCTGAGCTTGGCGTCGAGGGAGAGGGTGCGGGGACGGCCCCAGGGGCGGCGGGCAGGGGGGCTGGGGCTGCCCGCCCGGCCGGAGTGAGGGGCATGCGGGGGGGGCCCCTCAAAGAGGGAGACCCACGGGGGGGTCCCTGGCGCCCGTCCCCCCGCCCGCCGCGTCAGGATGTCCGTCACTGCCTCGATGTCGTCGGCCGGATCAATAGCTGTGGGGAAGAGCAGGGGGTCAGCCGGACTCCCCCCGGACCCCCGTCCTGCTCCTGCGCCATGGGGACGGGACCCGCCAACGGCCAGGACGGGGCGGCCCCATGGCAGAGATGTGCCCCGTGGCCGGTGGATGTGTCCCACGGCCGGGACGTGCACCGGAGCCAGGGCAGCCGGGACACGCTCTGTGGCAAAGGCGGCCGGGATTTGCCCCACGGCTGGAGTGGCTGGGACGTGCCCCACGGCTGGGACGTGGCCCGGGATGTGCCCTGTGGCTGGGACGCGCACCGGAGCCAGGGCAAGTGGGACGTGGCCAAGGGGGCCACACCCAGGGCCGTCCCCAGCGGTGCCACGGGCCGTGGCACAGTGGGCTCACCCCGCCGGCCCCCCGCCCGTCACCTGTCGCTGTAATAGGAGGAAAGCAGAGCTCGGATCTCTGCCGAGACGGCGTTATCCTGCAGCAGGGGCCCTGCGCAGGCGGAGGGGGGCACGGCCGGGCCGGGCAGGGCTGGAGCCACCAGAGACGGGGGGACGGAGAGATGGGGGGGACACAGAGAGACAGCAGGGACAGAGGAAGGCAGGAGAGGACAGAGGAAGGCAGGAGGGGGGACACGGAGAGATGAGGGGGACAGAGAGGCAGTGGAGAAAACAGCGACATTAGGGAGATGCCAGGGCGGCGAGGATGGGGCCGCCTGGCAGAAGGTTAGTGGAGAGCAGAGAGGAGGGAGACAGAGGCAGAGCCCCCCCAGTCCCCCCTGGCCCCAGCGCTCACCCATCTCGTGGTAGAGCGAGCCCTGCCGGGGCAGCATGGCGGGCGGCCGGCGCGGCGGCGGCACCTCGATCCTCATCAGCTCGTCACAGCACTGCTTCCACTGACCTGGGGGCACGGGGTGGGGGTCAGCGCCGCCGGGACCGGGTCCTGTTGGGTTGGGGGTCCCGCCGGGTTGGGGGGTCCCACCGCGCCTCCCCTGTCCGCGCTCACTCATGTCGTAGAAGTGCTGCCAGAAGGCTTCCATCCATCGCTGCGCCTCGGCCCGGCTCTCAGCCAGCAGCGTGTGGGTCACCTCCTCGCCGCCGTAGCGGTTGGTGACGGCCATGCCGTGGGGCTGCCCGCGCCCCTCCCGCTCCGTCGCGCGGATGCGGGTCTCCTGTGGTGGTGGCGGCGGCAGCCCTTAGACCCTGCAGCCCCCCATGGCCCCCATAGCCCCCCAGCCGCCCCGGCTGTACCTTGTTGACGGCGATGGTGAGTGCCGGCTCCA